TTCCTAAAGCAATCTAGAGATTCAATGCAATCCCTATCAAATTTTCAATGACATTCTTCACAGAAATAGAACAAAGAATCCTAAAATTTATATGGAACAAGAAAAGACCATGAATAGCCAAAGGAATCCTGAGAAAAAAGAACAAAGCTGGAGGTGTCACACTCCCTGATTTCAAAATATACTACAAAGCTATAGTAACCAAAACAGCTTGATACTGGCAGGAAAACAGACACACAGATCAATGGAACAGAATTGAAAACCCAGAAATAAACCCACACGTCTAGGAAAAGCTAATTTTCAACAAGGGAACCAATAACATACAATGGAGAAAGGAAAGTCTCTTCAATAAATGGTGCTGGGAAAACTGGACAGCCACATGCAAAAGAATGAAACTAGGCCATTACCTTACATCATATACCAAAATCAACTCAAAATAGATTGAGACTTGAATGTAAGACCTGAAGCCATGAAACTTCTAGAAGAAAACATAGGCAGTACACTCTTTGACATTGGTCTTAGCAACATATTTTCAAGTACCATGTCTGACCAGGCAAGGGAAACAATCGAAAAAATAAACAAGTTGGACTACATCAAACTGAAAAGCTTCTGCACAGCAAAGGAAACTATCAATAAAACAAAAAGACAACCTAACAATTGGGAGAATATATTGCAAACCATATATCTGATAAGGGTTTAATCTCCAAAATAAATAAAGAACTCATACATCTCAACAACAACAAAAAAAACTAATAACCCAATTAAAAAATGGGCAAAAGACCTGAACAGACATTTCTCCAAAGAAGATATACAGATGGCCAACAGGCACATGAAAAGATGTTCAACATCATTAACTATCAGGGAAATGCAAATCAAAACTAGAATGAAGTATCACCTCACTCCAATCAGAATGGCTATAATTAACAGTTCAGGAAACAAGTGTTCAAGAGGATGTAGAGAGAAGGGAACTCTGATAGACTGCTGGTGGGAGTGCAAACTGGTGCAGCCACTATGGAAAACAGTATTCAGATTCCTCAAAAATTTAAAAATAGAACTCCCATGTGATCTGGCTGTTCCACTGCTGGCTATTTATCCAAAGAACATGAAAATATGAATGCGTAAAGATACGTGCACCCCAATGTTCATTGCAGCATTATTTACAATAGCCAAGGCTTAGAAGCAACCTAGGTACTCATGAAGGGACAAATGAATAAAGAAGATATGGTATAAATACACAATGGAATACTACTCAGCCATAAGAAATGCTGAAATCCAGCCATTTGTGACAACATGGGTGGAGCTTGAGGGTATTATGCTAAGTGAAATAAGTCAGAGGGAGAAAGTCAAATAACATATGATCTCACTCACAAATAGAAGATAAAAACAACAACCAACAATCACATAGAGACAGAGATTGTCTTGGTGGTTACCAGAGGGAAAGGGGGAGGGAGGGGACCATAAGGGTTGATTAGGCACGTTTGTGGTGATGGACTGTAGTTAGTCTTTGGGTGGTGAACATGATGTAATCTATACAGAAATCAAAATAGAAGGATGTACACCTGAAATTTATATAATGTTATAAACCAATGTCCCCTCAATTTAAAAAAAACTATAAAAATAAATAAATACATATATATAATGATAAAAAAGAAATATAGTTATTTGGAAGCTAACTGAATATATTAAGCACAGAAAGGACTTCCATCTAAAATTTGAATGATAAAATTATTTCCTTGCTTCATTTATAATATTGCCTTAATAAGTCACTCTTTTCTTTGCCTCTTTTGTCTATCTTTTCTGCTTTGTATCTTTTCTGATTCACTTTCTTAAGGAGTGAACCTACACTTTAAAGGGGATAATGTTGTTACTAAATTAATGTTGTCACTAAATTAACATAGCTTTTTTCTATGTAATCTCATTATATGCTTTTTTTTTTTAATCTCCTACACTGTTATATTATGTATTTTTTCTTTCACATTTTTCAGTGTTTTAGAAAACACATGCACACCAGACAATTCTGGCTCTGGAGCACTTACTTTTATCCCTAGCATTATATATCTTCTATTTAGACATTTCTTCACTTTTATTTGGATTTTATGAATATCAAGAAGTTGTTTGTGCCCAGTCTGAATTTCATTCTGTTGTAGGTGACTTTTTCCCTTTTTTTATTCTGTCTGCATGCTTCTAGATGTTTTTTCCTTCTTCACTCCTTCATTCTCTTTCCTCTCTTTCTCCCTTCCTTCCTTCTTTCTTTCCTCCTTTCCTTTCTTTCATAGAGCTTTTACTTCAAAAATTTTCCAGGACATACCTAAGTGTATGTATCAATTTACTAAATAAAACTTATCCATATATTAAGTCTTTTTATTCTTTTCAGAAAAGTTTTCTTCTCTTCAGTTTCTTATTAATAGTTGTCTTACAGTGGAATGATTATTTTAAAAGCCACTGATTAATTATAGCTTGCTTTTGTATTATTATTATTCTGTATGTATCACTTTGTTTCTTATCATTTAATCTCTGTCCTACATTCCTGGAGAGCTACTCAAGTTTTATTCTCCAGGCTCGTGATGCAATTTCACATCCGCAGCACAGTTCTTTCCTGCCTCTCCTGTGGCTTTCCACCCTAATACCACGCTTTTAATCGTCATGAGTAACCCCCTCTTTCTCTTCCATGGCGCAGTGCACTGACCTAGGGCATGTTTATCCTCTTCCGAAGAGTTTCCTAGCATCATGGGCTTTCCTTGGCTTTGCTGTGGGCCTCTTCTTATTCTGCAGATCATCACTAGGACCTCCTTAGACCAGGTGGTACCCAGTTCTGGAAGAGCCCCCTGTGGATGAAAAGGGCCAAAGAGGCCACCATCCCCTCTCCTCACCACCCAATCCATTCAGCCTTTCCTGAGCTGGCAAGCAAGACCAGAATTATGTTTTGATTTTTGTTGAAACTTCAGAATAAACTTAGAACGAAAAAGATTAGATTTCTAATTAGCTTGCATTTTCCCTTGAGTCTGCATATTTTCCACTTTCTTAAATCGGATCTCCGATTCACTGTGCTGATATCCTTAATTATAGATAAGAGAACTGGCACCATAGAGACCCCCCACCACTCCAAAATGCTGTTCCTAGACCAGAAAAATGGCTGCCAATTCCATGCGTTTATGACCACATTACCTGTTTCTTTCAATGCATGCAATGGTTAATATTATGTCCAATAATTCAAAATATATATTTGGCCTTTGAAGAATGGTAAAACTAATGAGGAATTTTTGGAAATGATTCGTTTATTTTCATATATATTCATGATGCAGATGCACTATGCATAGTGTAGACACCCCTCCACGGCCTAAGACTTTGCAGGATTTCCTATTGCCCTCTAACCTATGCATGCTTCAGACATTTTGTTCAGGCACCGTGTCTAGGGTTATGACAAACCAAATTAGGATTTTATTGAGAGTGAAATGAGGTGGAACACATGCTAAAGCAGATGGGACCCTGGGACAGAAGACGAAACCTGGACCTCCCCAGACTAACCTGGATGGAAGTTCTCCTCTTGAAAAGCCTTCAAAGCCCACAACAAGGCAAAACCAAGGGAAAAGAATGATTGGTCTAAATGAACAAAAGGGAAACTAAAAAAATCAGAATGAATATATGTTTAAATGTTAAACAAACTGTTACAAGTTATCAACTACACCTCAATTCTACTGATAATATTTAGAAAATAATTTTGACCTTGTTACTTTGCTCCACATGCCTTAAAATCTAGTCTCCGACACCTCACTGCACCCCTCATTCACAATGCTCTGCCTGAACTATCCCAAATATAACAAATTCATTTCTGCTTTAGGGACATTAAATTTGCTATTCATTCTACAGGAACACCCTTCCCCAAATCTTCACATGGTTGCTCTTTGTCATCTTTTATTATCCATGTTAAACTTTTCCTCATAGCATTTATTAGTATTATCCAGAACCTTCCTCATACTTTACTCGTTTACTTTCTTTCTCCCACAACTAGAGCCATAAGCCACATGAGACATCTCTCCTTTTGTTTACAACAGTATCCTCAGAGCTTAGAACACTGCACAGATAGCATCCTATAAATAAAAGTTGGTGTGTGAATGATTGAGAAGTCAACAAATGAGTGAAAGAACAAATAAGGATGATCAGGGATGAGACAGATGATGCTGTGATCCAATTCACTACAGGTCATTATAATTTTCAACTGTATCTACAACTTTCTTATTCCTAGATAAGGCTGATAAGTTTTAAAATTGTCACAAAAATTCCCAGTTCAATAAAACATCTTACTGAATTGCTTGTTTATTTGAATTGATTGAATCAATTGTTTTGCAGTTGTATGCACATTTTAAATAAATGGATCTAACTCCAGATGAATAATTCTCTCTCTTGGACCCAGATGTTCTGCAATAATAGCTAAACTCCCTTAAACCAAGCACCAATTGCTAAATGTCCATTCATCTTCACACCATGGGGTCCTAACTTTGGAATTGCTCTTCAACAGCCAAGAAAGAAGAAGCTGCAAATCTGCCCCCCCCCACACAAAAATACTTGATATTAGTTATATAAATAATTTTTAAGACATTTTTTAAATAAGTCATTTTAGAGGCCGGCCCTGTGGCTTAGCAGTTAAATGTGCGTGCTTCGCTACTGGCAGCCCAGGTTTGCATCCCAGGTGCGCACTGACACACTGCCTGTCCAGCCACGCTGAGGTGGCGTCCCACATACAGCAACTAGCAGGATGTGCAACTATGACATACAACTATCTACTGGAGCTTTGGGAAGAAGAAGGGGAAAAAAAGGAGGAGGATTGGCAATAGATGTTAGCTCAGGGCCGGTCTTCCTCAGCAAAAAGAGGAGGATTGGCATGGATGTTATCTCAGGGCTGATCTTCCTCACAAAAATAATAATAATAATAATTCATTTTATCTACTACAATTTTCATTAACCCCATACTTGTCTTATTATGCCTCCAGGTATAAGTCAACAGCATGGATGGAGACGATAAGACCTTTGCCAGTGACTTCACCCTCACAGGGCTCTTTAATCACAATAAAGCCTCAGGCTTCCTATTCAGCATCATTTGTGGCATCATCTTTATGACCATGGTAGCTAATGGGGTCACGATCTTTCTATTCCACATAGACATTCACCTCCACATTCCCATGTATTTCCTGCTCAGCCACTTCTCCTTCATCGACATGATGTACGTTTCCACCATTGTGCCCAAGATGCTGCTCGATTTATCTCACGTGCAAGAAGACCATCTCCTTTATCTCCTGTACAGCCCAGTACTTTCTCTACGTGGGCTTTGTTGGAGTTGATTTCTTCCTGCTGGGACTGATGGCCTATGACTGCTACAGGGTGATCTGCAACCCTCTCCACTATCCTGTCCTCATGAGTCATCGGGTCTTTTGGATGATCTTGGCCAGCTCTTGGTTCGGCGGTGCTTTGGACAGCTTCCTCCTTACCCCTATAACCATGAGTCTCCCTTTCTGTGCCTCCCACAAGAGAAACCACTTCTTCTGTGAGGCTCCCACCATGCTGAGGCTAACCTGTGGTGACAAAGCCACCTATGAAATCGTGATGTTCACTTTCTGTGTCATAATGCTGTTAATCCCTTTCTCTGTGGTGATTGCTTCCTATTCCCAGACTCTCATCATGGTGCAACAGATGAAGACAGAGTGAGGAGAGAGGGAGAATCCCCCTCTGCCCTTTCCATTAAAGTTCTTATGGCTGGCCAAATAATTAACCAGACTGTAATGATAGTGTAGCAGGTTAGCAGGAGAAAATAATACCAAGTTTAGTAGCATGTATACATGGAAGAAACTCAGAAATGAGCAACTCGTGCCTCTGTCTAAGCTGCTTGCTTAAGTATTGTAGCTAAAGGGGGGGAAAGGGTTGGTGGGTGGGTAATGGTCTGGGACTCCAGAGGGCAAGAAGACAACTCACACGGAGATAGAAATGCAAATGTTTGTCTGACAATTCTTTTCAGGGTCATCTATAGATAATGTGGTCAGGGAGAGATAGAGTTTTTGATAAAAGGGGCTTAGTGCCTGTCCTATTGTAACATCCATTTTACACTATCATTACAGCCATCATGATAATAACTCCTTCCTGAAAGAGATCCCTCGTTCCAAATTCTCTAGGCAGTGTGGGAGGGGAAACTCAAATATTCCTCCTGAGTTTTCTGAGTCTTTATTGTCTTCAGCTCGAAATAATCCGCATACCAGAGTGGTGCTTCCTGGGGTAACTTGCCCTGAGCACCATCATCAGCAAAAGGGAAGAAGAAGGCCTTTACCACCTGCTCATTATACATAATGGTGGTGATGTTGTTTTACAGGGCTGCCCTTTACACATATATGCTTCTCCAATCCTACCACACACCAACCAAAGACAAGGTCTTCTCTGCCTTTTACACCATCTTCACTGCCTTATTAAACCCTCTCATCTACAGTCTGAGAAACACAGATGTAACAGAGGCCTTGAAGAGGGTTTTGGCAAGATATCAAGGGACACGTGATGTGACAATGGAAGAATTCTGACGGTCTAAATACTCCATCCCTGCTCCAGGATGTATAGGTACCCATGCTAGATTATCATGGGTAATACAGATAATACTTGCAGCAACTGAAAGCCACCTATCTCAAAATGTGTATCAGTAGTACTTTTGTCAAAATCTGAACTCTTTGTAACATTTACACATGAATAATGCTGTAAATGCCACTGGTATTTATTCCTTCTTTGTGTCCATTCATTCCAATTCTTCTCTCATACCACTTCTCTGATAGTAATTCATGTGTATTAATGCCCCAAAATCTCTGGTTAATATTACATACTCTGCCCACCTTCGGTGGCCTCATATGAACTGGTGATTTTGATTATATTGTTTAACTGATCCATTGATGGAGTTTATGGAAGAGCTAGGTGTGTGGACATTTGAAAGAATTTGAAAGAGACTAAAGTGTCATAAATATTCCAAGGGAATATTTACATAGAGTCACACCGGGATTTAGAAAATGCAGATATCTTTTCTTTGAATAACAACTGAAAACATTCCCCCTTTATCAAAATTTGAAATTGGAAAAAAATGAATCATGTGTTTTTGAAGAAATGCAAAGACTAATCCCCTACAGGGGAAGGATTCTATGATATTGTATTTGTTATGTGGTCAATAACCATTACATCAGAAGACACAGTGAAAGGTAGGCAATGAAGAAGTGCTCTATTAATTCATAAATTTAGTAAGCACTTTTCAGCTACTTCTCCAATTAATTAGGATTATTAGATTTCTGTAATCCTTCTCTACATGTTAGTGGTGGTATGGATATTTCTATCAACCTTTTTCTTCCAAAGCAACAGTAGGCAGCACATTTTTTCCTTCTCTAAATCACAGGGCTTTGCATTGAATAGCATTACAAAATGAGAAGGAAAGAACTAGCTTTTCAGTTGAGAAATGGAGCTGAAAATTATTTGGTATAATTTCTTTTTAGGATCCTGATAAGCAGAGAATCTAAGTTTTAGCCTAAATCATAGACTCAGTTTTAAAAACCTGGATCATGTCCCGGGCCCCATGGACCACCTCTACATGGTGCTGTACCAGGCTTTGTGATCTCACCAGTTTGACAAAATCCTGGCCGGGTTCAGCAGTTTTACTGCTGACACAGCCAAGTCTCCTATGCCCTGAAAAAGCTGCTGGGTGGTAGACAAAATCTTTAACCAAATGAAACAATTCATATTGGAACGCCGTGGGTTGAACTGACTAGTTAATCAGGAAGGTAGACCTGCTCCCGTCTCAGTCAGCTGGGTTAGCAGTGCATACCAGGTGCAGCCTCTTTGAGGCTCTCTACGAGAGGCTGGCTTGGAATGCACCACATGCCAGGAGATAGGAGGGAGCATTTCCAACCCAGAAGATGGTGGGGTACAAGAAACAATAAATAAAACAGAGGAGAATGAGAGGACTGACCCTGAGAACTTGGCATCCATTTCAGCTCTACTTTTCAAGAACTTCTGTCCATCACGTGAGGTGGCTGAGGCCCAGTTTCCTCTTCTGTGAAATTTGAGTTAATGTATGTTTTTTCTTATAAGATTTTAATGATTAAATATGATAAAAGTAATGAATACTAGTCATTATTTTTATTTTAGCTATTCCTAATAAATGTAATTGCTTTTCATTCTCATAATATTCATGCTGTTCTTTTATTTATTTCCCCCATTTTCCTTTTCCTCTCTATCTGTCACACACATAAGCATGCTCTCTTTTTAATTACACTTATGTATGGAGAATTGACAATGGGTAAAAATAATATTCCAAGTACAGGGATTGAAAATAAATTTTATTAGGAAAATTAGCAAAAGAATAAATAATACATACTTTAAAAATTTAGCAATTAAAACAAAAATGAGATAGCACTAACACCTATTAGAATGGCTACAATTCAAAATACTAGCAATACTAAATGCTGGTGAAATACAGGAACTGTTATTCATTGCTGATGGGAATACAAAATGGTACAACCACTCTGGAAGACAGTTTGACACTTTGTTACAAAGCTAAACATAGTCATAACTTATGATCTCGCAGTTGTGCTTCTTGAGATTTACCCTACTGATTTGGAAACTTACATTTACAAAAATAGCTGGATGTGAATATTTTTCACATAATCACCTAAAACTTAGAACTAATCAACATCCTTCAGTAGGCGAAGGGAAAAATAAGCTGTGGTACATCCATATAGTGGAATATTATACAACAATCAATAGAAAGAGCTGAGCTATCAAGCCATGAAAAGACATGGAGAAATCTTCCACATATAGTACTAAGAGAAAGAAGACTAAAAAGGCTACATACTATATGATTCCAGCTATATGAGATCTGGAAAAAGCAAATCTATGAAGACAATAAAAAGATCAGTTGTTGCCAGGGGTTGGGAGGAGAAAGAGGTGAACAAGCAGAACACAGAGGATGTTTAACACAGTGAAACTCTTCTGTATGATGCTGTAGTGGAATTTACATGACATTATGCATTTGTCACAACTTATGCAACAGAGTGAATCAATGTAAACTATGGGTTGTAGTTACTAATAATGTATGAAAACCAGTTCATCAATTGTAACAAATGCCCCATGCAAAGGTAAAATGTTAACTATAGGAGAAAGAAGAGTATATGATAACTCTCTGTACTATCTGCTAAATTTTCTTTAAACCAAAAACTGTTCTAAAATAGAAACTTTATTAATAAAAAATATTTCTAAAAACCACATAATCCTCTGATACTATGTTTCATTCAAGAAATCATTAGAAGCTGTCACCAAAGAATTGTGGAGTTTGTATAAGTAGGGTGGTGGCAGGGCATTAAATGAAAAAATCTTGTTAATTTCATCGGCCTTGTTTTGGGGATTTGGCTATGTGTATTTTGGAGGTGGGAAAGCAATGAGGCTAGTATTTTTTGGAAAGGAAAGTTAATTAGAAGAACCTAGACCAAATATTAATTAGTTTCACACCCTGAGCATAAGGTAGCATCTCCTTGGCAATTCACATTCCAAGTCAGCAGTCCCTGGTCTTCATGCATATATAATAAGGTACTGGTAATGTACAATCTGTTTGTGGAGGGGGAATAAGTGGTCTAAATTTCCCTGTGCCCTGCATACTCCCCCACAGTAGGAATCAACAGCCTTGCAAAAGAAGGCTGCTACTGCAGAGAACACTCTCACTAGACTGAGTGGAATGGTTTTCTTCTCAGAGGATATTTTATCATTCATTATAAGTCTCATACACACTAAAAGGGTTATGTAGTTCAGAAAAACATTACTGTGCAGAGATAGTGGAAAACTTTGAGGTCCTTTGATGAAAAGTGAAGCCAAGCCCTCCACCTGTGAGTCATTCGGTCATGTCTGCAAGAAAATCAAATTGAATATCAGTGCCAGAAGCCACAGAAAACACCTTAAGAACTTGTGCTTCCTCTGGTGGAAATGAACAAGGAAAATGTGTAACTTGCGTTCACAGAGGAATTAGCAATGACTGGAAACGTGATCAATTTGGTTCTTAGCTCTGCCAGTCACTCTGTCATTTAAATGACTCTGCTGCTGGGCCGGCCCCATGGCTTAGCGGTTAAGTGCGTGCACTCCACTACTGGCAGCCCAGGTTCAGATCCCAGGCGCGCACCGACGCACCACTTCTCCGGCCATGCTGAGGCCATGTCCCACAAACAGCAACTAGAAGGTTGTGCAACTATGACATACAACTATCTACTGGGGCTTTGGGGAAAAGAAAGGAGGAGGATTGGCAATAGATGTTAGCTCAGAGCTGGTCTTCCTCAGCAAAAAGAGGAGGATTAGCATCAATGTTAGCTCAGGGTTGATCTTCCTCACAAAATAAATAAATAAATAAATGACTCTGCTTCCTTTGCCTCAGTTTCTCTATAAGTGAAATGGGAAATATCCCCACAGATATAATTGCTGTTTCCCCCAGGAAAAAATAAACTTGCCAACAATTTGAGTAGAGTACAGGCCCTTTCAGCAACTAAGTTTTTAAGTTTTGGTCTCTACTCTGATAATTAGAATGTCATGAACACATGCTATGCTGAAAAGAAAAAAGTGCAGTTATGTGTAGTAGTTAAAGTTCTTTGTGACAGGAATTGGTGTTCCCAAGAAGTCAGTGGTTCCACCCAAGAACCACAGGACTATCCATAGGAAGGAGCACAGGTGTACTGGGGACTGTGGTGGGGCAGGGAGCTGGTGGTCTCCCAAGATCTACCCAAGGGCCTGACAAGCAGCAGGCACTCTGTAAATGATGCCCAAAGGAAATGTGCGGAATCCTTCATACAGGAAAAGAATTTAAGGGAGTGAGTGATCCTAAAGGATATCTCGCCAATGGCTGACCACTGAGTTCATGGCATGTGCCAATTTCAATGACCGCCAAAGGCTTCTGGATTGCTGTAGTGAGAACTTTCTGAAGTTGGTTCCTGGGGATGGGCCCCAGGGCATAAGGCTCCAGACACAAATGCCATGTATTTGCGACTACTGCTCTTGTTCAAAATGATCATTGCAGAGGTCAGGAACCAGGGTCCCAGACAGCCATACCGACTTACACAGTTTGCTGTCAACAGTGTTGTCACAAAATTCAAGCTTCCTACTTCAAACATGGTTATTTACTTACCCGTTCCTTGCTAATAAGCACCCTCAACAACTATTGAAAACATTAAAATAGTAATGACGTCTCTCAGACTCAGATACACACACACACACACACACACACACAGAAGTTGTAAAGAATGGTTGGCAAGTAATTAAATCTAGCAATTATTGTTGATAGACAATCTTAGATGATACTAACTATAGAAAGATAATTCCTCAGCATGATAAACTGTATCTGACTCAAACTAAGGAAAAATCCAGGCATAATTATGAAGTAATGTTTGTGTTATTATTAAAGTAAAAAACAAGTAAAGAAGGCCCATTTCCACCAAACTGATTGACATAGTTTTGAAAATTCTAAACAATATAATGTAAATGAAAAATAAACCTCTATGTTTTCGAATAAAGC